CCCCCCCCCCGTCCCCCCTCCCCCGAGGCATTTTCTTAAACCTGTACATGAATCAGTTTAGAGATTTAGAGGGACAGGCTGTCCTTTTAGCAGCGGTATATTCTGAAATGTCTCATAAATATATTTTTGAATAAAGAGGGTGTCGTTCGGTGGCCGAGAAACCGCTTCCTGGCGTCCTTTTTTTGTTTTTTCCCCCTCCCCCCCTCCTGGAGCAAAAGAGACACCCCCCCCGGAGACAAAGTCCTAACAGGTTTCCAAGATGGAAGGCCTGTGGGCTTCGATTCCCAGAATTCCCTGGCGTTCACGCATCCCTTTTCACGCATAAGCCCCATTGTGGCCTGCTTACTCTCTTATCATCCTTTCCTCTGTAATCTCTCCACTCGAGAGTGGAAAGGGAAAAAAAACCCAAAAAACAGGCATGGCTGGCTGGGGAATTCTGGGAGTTTGAAGTCCACAAGTTGCCAAAGTTGGACATCTTTGAAACTCAGCCTTTGGGTGGTCTTATACTGAGCTTTTGCACCAGTGGGCCAGTGCAGGTAGTCCTTGAGTTACGACCGTCATGGGCCCTTACCCATTATCGCCGTCATTGTAGTCGTTAAGTGAGGTGGGTGATTAACTCACACAACGGCCGCTGTAGAGCTCTTTTTCCTCGCACCCCACATTTATTTCATCACTCTTGTTTTCTTTTATCTATTTTACCCTGGCAGGCAATCCTCTACTTAACGACCACTCACGTTGCTAAGCGAGGCATTTGTTGAGCGAGTTTTGTCCCATTTTGCCATTTTGTTAAGTGAACACCTGCAGTTGTTCAGTTAGTAAGACGCTCACCTGTCATTCTATGCTTCCGTGGGGGTCTCCTGCTTGAGCAGGGGGTTGGACTAGATGACCTCCGAGCTCCCTTCCAGCTCGGTCATTCTGTGATTAAATGACTCTGGCTTGCCCGTTGACTTTGCTTGTCAAAAGGCAGCAAAAGGGGCTCGCGTGAGCCCGGGACGTGGCCGTCGTAAATGTGAGGAGTCCGTTGCCAAGCATCTGGATTTTGGCCACGTGACCACGGGGGAGGCTGCAACGGTCGTCAAATGGCCACAACTCATTTTTTTTTTCAGTGCCGTTGCAACTTTGAACGGTCACTAAATGAACTGTTGTAAGTTGAGGACTGCCTGTATTTTACTTTTATTTCCTTCGATACGAATCTAAGATGAGTCTACGTAAGACTGAAATGATGGTCTGTCCATTGCAGGATGGAAACAGATCTTATTTGATCCCCGTTCCAGCTGCCTGCAGCATATTTATCTGTCTGTCATCTATCTATGTCTGTCTGTCAATCATCTATCTGTTATCGATCTATCATCTTTATCAGGGGTCTTCAAACTTGGCCCTTTTATGACTGGTGAACCAACTCCCACGCGTGCCTGGCTGAGGAATTCTGGAAGTCATAAAAGGGCCAAGTTTGAAGACCCCTGATCTATATCTATCATTTATATTATCTACCATCTCTCTGTCACTTATCATCTATATCATCGGTCTATCATCGGTCTATCATCTATCTGTCATCTATGTCTATCTGTATCCATCCATCCATCTCCTGTCTGTCTGTGTTTCTGCCTGCCTGCCTGCTTTATCTATCTATCTATCTATCTATCTATCTATCTATCTATCTATCTATCTATCTATCTATCTATCTATCTATCTATCTATCTATCATCTATCTATCTATCTATCTATCTATCATCTATCTATCTATCTATCTATCTATCTATCTATCTATCTATCTATCTATCATCTATCTATCTATCTATCTATCATTTATCTATATCATCTATCTATCTATCTATCTATCTATATCATCTATCTATCTATCTATCTATCATTTATCTATATCATCTCTATATCTATCTATCTGTCTATCTATCTATCTATCTATCTATCTATCTATCTATCTATCTATCTATCTATCTATCTATATTCTATTCTATTCTATTCTATTCTGTCTATCTCTACTGTATATCATATCTAACATATCTATCATCTCTCCATCCATGCATCTATCATCTGTCTTTCTATCTATCTGTCTATCTATCTAGCTATCCATCTCTCCCCTCCCTTCCCCTCCCTTCCCCTCTCCTCCCCTCTCCTCTCTCATGTCCCAAAGAAGAGGGAGTCAAGCTGTTCTCCAAAGCCCCTGAAGGCAGGACAAGAAGCAACGGATGGAAACTAACCAAGGAGAGAAGCAACCTAGAACTAAGGAGAAACTTCCTGACAGTTAGAACAATTAACCAGTGGAACCACCTGCCTCCAGAAGCTGTGAATGCTCCAACACTGGAGGCTTTTAAGAAGAGACTGGACAGCCATTTGTCCGAAAGGGTATAGGGTTTCCTACCTGAGCAGGGGGTTGGACTAGATGACCTCCATGGTCCCTTCCAACTTTATTATTATTATCTCATCTCCATTTCAAAACTGCCCATCTTCCTCACAGGGGGACTCCATATTTATTAGCTTTCTAGGTCTCGAGGGCTCTGGTTGGTTTATAATAGCGTAATAAAACAATATAAACACAGGAATAAAAGCACAGATTAAAAAACAGTTCAGAACACAATTAAAACCGGTTTGGTCAGCGATTAGCTGGGCGTTTCAATCCAGAACTATTGCTTAAGAATCTGGGGCCTTGCTTGGCCAGCACCCCACCCCACCCCTCCCTTTGTGGCTGCTGAGACACAAAGGGCTGTGCAAAAATACTTGTGGCTGACCACGCTGTCTGCACCCAAGCCACTGTGGCTTGGACACCCCGCTGGTGGCTTCGTGGAGCAAACCCAGCCAACTCCCCAAAGGAGAATATCTGTAGGTCAGGCTAGAACTGGGGGGGAGGCTTGTTGCTCTCTGAGCTGGGCTGTTTCCTTGCACACGTTTTATTAGCCAACTAGGAGACACCATCTGCTGGAAGGGAGGGGGGTCCATGGGGGAGGAGGAGGAGGAGGAGGAGGAGGAGGAGGAAGCATATGAGGGTTTCTGAGCTCAGTTGTTTTCTTGCAGACATTTTGCTACCCAACTAGGGAACGTGATCAGTGCTAGAAGGGAGGGGGGTTTGCAGGTGGGAGGAGGAGGAGGAAGCATATGGGGTCCTTGGTGCTTTCTGAGCTGGGTTGTTTTCTTGCAGACATTTCGTTACCCAAATTATGGTAGGTACCATCAGTGCTAGTGGCACGCTGATGATGTTCCCTAGTTGGGTCATGAAACGTCTGCAAGGAAACCACCCAGCTCATAGAGCACCAAGGACCCCACAGTCCTCCTCCTCCTCCTCCTCCTCCTCCTCCTCCTCCTCCTCCTCCTCCTCCTTAAAACCCCATTCCCTTCTAGCCCTGATATTGTTCCCTAGTTTGGGCCATGAAACATCTGCAAGAAAACCACAAGGCTCAGAGAGCACCAAGGACCCCACAGTCCCCCTCCTCCTCTCTGCAAACCCCCCTCCCTTCTAGCACTGATGATGTTCCCTAGTTGGGTTATGAAACGTCTGCAAAAAAACAATGAAGCTCAGAGAACACCAAGGATCCCAGTTGTCGTCGTCTTCTTCCTCCTCCTCCTCCTCCTCCTCCTCCTCTTCCTCCTCCTCCTCCTCCTCCCAACTGAGCCCAAGAGGCGGTCGCTAAGTGAGTTGCATCCCATTTTATGACCGTTTTCACCACGGTTCAGCAAATCACTGCAGCTGTTCAACAAATCCTGGGGTCATGAGAGTGGCAGTTCCTGGGCACGCTGCTTTCATGCCACCGTCAGGGTGTCTGTCCCTGGCCTTGCAACTGGCAGCTGTCATCCTCCTCCCAACGCCTTGGAGAGCCAGAATAAATGTGCCACCCTCCTAACACACACACACACACACACACACACACACAAAACACCCTTTTCCAGCAAAGTTGACCCAGGCAGCTAATCAGTGGCATGAAGAATGGAGCCTCGGTTGTGTGTGTGTGTGTGTGTGTGTGTGTGTATGTGTTTCTGCTCTTGCTCCAGTTTGCAAGTATTTTATTTCTTTTCCCTTCCAAGTGAGACACAGAAAACATTTGTCACCTCTTTGTCACGGCAGCTCAGGGCCAGATCCAGTTGGGAGAAGGGGAGCCTGCTGATCTCTGCTCGGCTGGTCCACGTCACCCTCTCTCCACATGGTGTAGCCACAATTTGGGATGTGAAGGAGCTAAATGGCTTTGAACCAGGATTTTGTGTGTGTGTGTGTGTGTGTGTGTGTGTGTGTGTGAGAGAGAGAGAGAGAGAGAGAGAGATGATAGCAGTCTTCCAGTATTTGAGGGGTTACCACAAAGAAGCAACGGATGGAAACTCATCAAGGAGAGAAGCAACCTGGAACTAAGGAGGAACTTCCTGACAGTGAGGACAATTAACCAGTGGAACTGCTTGCCACCAGAAGTTGGGGGTGCTTCACCACTGGAAGTTTTTAAGAAGAGGTTGGACAGCCATTTGCCTGAAGTGCCGCCTGCTTGAGCAGGGAGCTGGACTAGAAGACCCACTAAGGTTGCTTCCACCTCTGTTATTCTAGTTCCTTTCTGCTTCTCCAAATATGGGGCTGATGCCGTAGGTTCAAAAGCAGGAGAGGGAAGTGGGCCAGGCAAGCTGGTGGGTCCAGGAAAGCCTCCCCCCCCCCCAGCCTTGAAGAAGCAAGGCAGAGGCTGGGCTACCCAGCACCCAAAGAGGAGGAGGAGGAGGAGGAGGAGATCCAATGGAAAGGAGGCCAGATGGGCTGAAGAAGAACATCTGGATTATTTATGGGGAGGCAGTGGGGGAAAGAGAGGGGGGGGGGTCAGGCTGACCCAGCACAGAGCTTCGGGCACTATCCCAAAGCAAAAGGAGCATAAATACAGACCAGAAGGAGGGAATATTTGTCGGTCGGGCTGAACTGCGTTGAGTCCTTGGTGTCTTGGATTGCAGATGTTTCACGATCCAGCTGGATAACATCCTCAGGGCAGGGAGGGAGGGAGGGGGGAGGAGGATGAGGAGGAGGATGGTGAGGTCTTTGGTGCTCTCTGAGTTGGTTCCTTTCTTGCAGACATTTCAGGACCCAGCCGGGCAACTTCAGTACTAGAAAGAGGAGAGGTTTGCAGAGAAGAGGAAGAGGAGGACTAGTAACCCTCATGATGTTCCCTAGTTGGAAGATGAAACATCTGCAAGGAAACCACCCAGCTCAGAGAGCACCAAGGACCCCACAGTCGTCCCCTCTTCCTCCTCCTCCTCCCCCCCTCCTCCTCCTCCTCCTCCTCCTCCTCCTCCTCTCTCCACTCCCTTCTAGCTCTGATGATGTTCCCTAGTTGGGTCATGAAACGTCTGCAAGAAACAGTAAAGCTCAGAGAGTAACAAGAGCCCCACAGTCCTCCCCCTCCCCCTCCTGCTTCTCTTCCTNCTCCTCCTCCTTTCTACAAATCCCCCTCCCTTCTAGCTCTGATGATGTTCCCTAGTTGGGTCATGAAATGTCTGCAAGAAACAGTAAAGCTCAGAGAGTAACAAGAGTCCCACAGTCCTCCCCCTCCCCCTCCTGCTTGTCTTCTTCCTCCTCCTCCTCCTCCTCCTCCTCCTCTCTACAAATCCCCCTTCCTTTCTAGCCCTGATGATGTTCCCTAGCTGGGTCATGAAACGTCTGCAAGAAACGGCCCAGCTCAGCATCCACCCCTCCGCCGCATTCATATATTTTACGACAGTCTCTTTAGACAGGCTCCCCCAAGGCAAACCTCCCAGAAAATTAGTCACAGCCAGAAAAGTAGCCTCCTGGGTGGACGTCTGAACGAAGTCACTGCAATGGGACATGGCTGAGCCCTCCAGATGTGCATCGCCGTCTTGACTGATGGATGTAAGCGGCAAGACGGGAGCAGGGGGCGCAAGGGACCGTCTGCTCACCTGGCTGGGCGAAGCCTCCACCTGTTGGGATGCAGCCAGAGAGGACAACCTGCAATGGGGGGGGGATTTGCCTGGGCCAGTGGCCAGAGAGAAGTCACTAGCCAAGGCAGTGGTCAGCCTCCTTTGAAGGACGGTCAGCCAGCCACGACCAGCAACTTCTTTCTCACAGCCAAAGGCCCCCCCAACATGTTCCCAAGGGGGACCCCCAAGCTCAAAGCCTGGATAAAGAGGCTGCGAGTCAACTTGAACTCTTTCTACCCATTTGCTCCTGGTTGTCTGCACTGGAATTTGCTACCCAGCAAAGATAGGCGGTCTAAATTAACCCCCTTTATCTGGAGAGGGGTGGGCAGCTTTTCCTTCGAGCTTGATAGGAGCCAGGCCAACGGCTACTCTGAGTTTCCAAACCGCAGCCAAAGGAGTTTCAGATAAGCGACCAGCAAGGGCGAGAAAGAGAAAGAGAGAGACAGCAAGAAGGAAAGAGGGAGAGGAAGAAAGAGAGGGGGAGGCAGGAGAGGAAGAGAGAAAGAGAAACTGGGAGGGAGGGGGAGAAAGAAAGAAGAAAGAAAGAAAGAAAGAAAGAAAGGAAAGAGAAAGAAAGAAAGAAAGAAAGAAAGAGAAAGAAAGGAAGGAAGGAAGGAAGGAAGGAAGGAAAAGAAAGAAAGAGAAAGAAAAAAGAAAGAGAAAGAAAAAAGAAAGAGAAAGAAAGAAAAAGAAAGAAAAGAAAGAAAGAAAGAGAAAGAAAGAGAAAGAAAAAAGAAAGAGAAAGAAAGAAAAAGAAAGAAAAGAAGAAAGAAAGAAAGAAAGAAAGAAAAAGAAAGAAAGAAAGAAAGGAAAGAGAAAGAAAGAAAGAAAGGAAGGAAGGAAGGAAGGAAGGAAGGAAGGAAGGAAGGAAAAGAAAGAAAGAGAAAGAAAAAAGAAAGAGAAAGAAAGAAAAAGAAAGAGAAGAAAGAAAGAAAGAAAGGAAAAGAAAGAAAGAGAAAGAAAGAAAAAAAGAAAGAGAAAGAAAGAAAAAGAAAGAAAAGAAGAAAGAAAGAAAGAAAAAGAAAGAAAGAAAGAAAGAAAAGAAAGAAAAGGGAGTGGAGGGAGGGAGGGGCATGGGAAGGAAGGAGGAAAGAAAAAAGAAGGAGGGAGGGAGGGAGGGAGAGAAGGAAGGAAGGAAGAGGGAGAGAAAGTGAAGATTGGGAGAGAGAAAGAAACGGAGGGAGGAGGAGAGAAAGGGAAGAGCGAGAAGGAAAAAGGGAGGAGAGAGAGAAAGTGAAAGAGAAACAGGGAGGGGGGAGAGAGGGAAAACAGGAAGGGAAAGGGGGACATCAGGAAATGTACAGTATCGGTGGGGGGGGGCAGATGGTTGTCCCCATTTTTTTTATTTCTGGAACCCCAGGAGAGTCCAAGGAGGCCAGTTTCCTGCATCAGCTGGCGAAAGTGACCAGCAGGAGAGTGGATGGACGGACTTTTACAGTCAGGATTGGTCCCCTGGAGTTCTGGCCAGGAAAACTGGATAGCTCAACAGGGAGAGTCCAGCCCCCGTCTGGTCAAGCAGGGGACCCTCTACCAACCCTCAAAGGGCTGCCCAGTCTCTTCTCGAAAGCCTCCAGTGATGGAGCCCCCATAACATCTGGAGGCAAGCAGTTCCACTGGTTAATTGTCCTCCCTGTCGGGAAGTTTCTCCTTAATTCTAGGTTGCTTCTCTCCTGGATGAGTTTCCATCCGTTGTTTCTGGTGCTTTGGAGAACAGAATACAACAGAGTAACAGGGTTGGAAGGGACCTTGGAGGTCTTCTAGTCCAGCCCACTGCTCAAGCAGGAGTCGCTATACCAATCCAGTCAAATGGTTACCCAGTCTCTTCTTTAAAACCTCCAGTGATGGAGCACCCACAACTTCTGGAGGCAGGTGGTTCCACTGGTTAATTGTTCTAACTAGTTCTAGATTGGATTTCTCCCTGATTCATTTCCACCCATTGTTTCTTGTCCTGCCTTCAGGCGCTTTGGAGACTAGCTTGACTCCCTCTTCTTTGGGGCAGCCCCTGAGATACTGGAAGGCTGCTATCATGTCCCCCCTCGTCCTTCTCTTCATTAAACTTAGACAGACCCAATTCCTGCAACCGTTCCTCATATGTTTTAGCCTCCAGTCCCCTATTCATCTTTGTTGCTCTTCTCTGCACTCTTTCTAGAGTCTCAGCATCTTTTTTTCCGTATCATAGTGACCAGAACTGGGCTGTGTCATGTCTTCTCCCGACTGCAGCTCGGATTCCTCTCTCTTTTGCATGACCAGCAGGAAGGATTCGTCCTGAGAATGGCCTCACCCTTCATTCCTTCCTTTAAACCCTCCTCAGCCAGCAGCCTCGGTGAGATTCTTGGCAGAAGCGTTGAGTTTTTCCAACAGCTTCCAGTTGCTCTGACCCATCTGAAATAGGAGCTTTCTCTTCGGATGCCTTGGCTGGAGTTGGCTGCCCCTCTGCCGAGGGTTTTTTGGGGAAACAGAGGGCAACCATCAGGTGGGTCATACAGGATAGGATAGGATAGGATAGGGTAGGGTAGGGTAGGGTAGGGTAGGGTAGAGTAGAGTAGAGTAGAGTAGAGTAGAATAGAATAGAATAGAATAGAATAGAATAGAATAGAATAGAAATACAGAATAGAGTAAAATAGAATATTAAATATAGAATAGAATAGAATAGAATAGAATAGAATAGAATAGAATAGAATAGAGCTGGAAGGGACCTTGGAGGTCTTCTAGTCCAGCCCCCTACTCAAGCAAGAGAACCTATACCAGTGATGGTGAACCTTTTAGAGACCGAGTGCCCAAACTGCAACCCAAAATCCACTTATGCATCGTCGAGTGCCGGGTGGGCGTGGCCCATTGGCTGGGCGTGGCTGCGGTGGTAACGGCAGACTGGGCGGGACTAAAAAGTTCAATCAATCAATTCCAACTTTGCAAGATCTTAATTTTCCCGCGAGAAGTTGAAATTGACTGATTGAACCTTTTTTTTTTTGCACACGGCGGTGGAGGCCTAAAGTGAAAAGGTTTTATAAAGCCCAGCTGAAGGCCTAGGACTGGGGCGACGGCACGAGTGCCCATAGAGAGGGCTCTGAGTGCCGCCTCTGGCACCCGTGCCGTAGGTTCGCCACCACTGACCTATACCATTTCTGACAGGTGAATGTTCAGTCTCTTCTTAAAAACCACCAGTGATGGAGCGCCCAGGATTTCTGGAGGCAACTTCTGTTCCACTGGTTGATTGTCCTCACTGTCAGGAAGTTTCTCCTTAATTCCAGGTTGCTTCTCTCTTTGATCAGTTTCCAACCATTGTTTCTTATCCTTCTCTCTGGTGCTTTGGTGAATAACGTGACCCCCTCCTCTTCTTTGTGGCAGCCCCTCAAATACTGGAACACTGCTATCATGTCTGCCCTGTTTCCTCTTTTCTTTAGACCAGCCAAACCCAAGTCCTGCAGCTGTCCTTGATATGTTTTAATCTCCAGACCCTCGATCATCTTAGTTGCTCTTCTCTGAATTGTTTTCCAAACTCTCAATGTCTTTTTTGTGATATGGTGACCAAAATTGGCTGCAGTATTCCAGGCGTGAGGATACAACCTTGATTAAAACAAGAATCATGGGAAGACCTGCTGCATCCAGACCAACCAACCAACCAACCAACCATGGCTAAACTGAATTAAATATCAGGTTAGGAAAAACCCACCGAGTTTTAGTATTTACTCTCTGTATCCTCCAGATCAAATGCATCCAGAAGGGCAAAGCCATCAATGGAGAGTAATAATAATAATAATAATAAAGTTGGAAGGGACCTTGGAGGTCATCGAGTCCAACCCCCTGCTCAGGCAGGAACCCTATACCACTTCAGACAAGTGATTGTCTAGTCTCTTCTTAAAAGCCTCCAGTGATGGAGCGGTCAGGATTTCTGGTGGCCAACTGTTCCACTGGTTAATTGTCCTCACTGTCAGGAAGTTTCTCCTTAGTTCCAGGTTGCTTCTCTCCTTGATTGGGTTCCATCCATTGCTTCTTGTCCTGCCTTCAGGGGCTTTGGAGAATAGCTTGACTCCCTCTTCTGTGGGGCAGCCCCTGAGATACTGTAAGGCTGCTATTCTGTCCCCCCTCGTCCTTCTCTTCCTTAAACTAGACATACCCAATTCCAGCAACCGTTCCTTATATGTTTTAGCAGACGTTTTGTTACCTAACTAGGTAACATCACCAGCACTAGAAGGGAGTGGAGGAGGAGGAGGACTGTGCGGTCCTAGGTGCCAGATTAGGGAACATCATCAAAATTAGAAGGGAGGGGGGTTTGCGAGGAGGAGGAGGAAGAGGAGGAGGAGGATTGTGTGGTCCTTGGGACTCTCTGAGCTTGGTGGTTTTCTTGAAGATATTGTAACCTTTCATGATGTCACCTAGTTAGGTCATGATGCACTGGTGATGTCACCTAGTTGGGTCATGAAACGTGTGCAGGAAAACAGCCTGGCTCAGAGAGCACCAAGGACCCTGCAGTCTTCCTCTCCCCCGTAAGCCCCATTCCCTCTAGCACTGATGATGTTCCCTCCCTCCCTCCCTCCTTCCCTTCCCTTCCCTTCCCTTCCCCTTCCTTCCTTCCTCTCCTCCTCCTCCCTTCTAGCACTGATGATGTTCCCTAGTTGGGTCATGAAATGTCTGCACAAAAACAACCAAGCTTCTTTCCTTCTTTCCTTCCTTCCTTCCTTCCTCCCTCCCTCCCTCCTTCCCTTCCCTTCCCCTTCCTTCCTTCCTCTCCTCCTCCTCCCTTCTAGCACTGATGATGTTCCCTAGTTGGGTCATGAAATGTCTGCACGAAAACCACCAAGCTCAGAGAGCATCAAGAACTCCATAGTTGTCGTCGTCATCATTGTCCTCCTCCTCCTCCTCCTCCTCCTCCTCCTCCTTCTCTTCCTCCTCTCCCTTCTAACACTGATGATGTTCCCTAGTTGGGTCATGAAACGTCTGCAAGAAAACCACCAAGCTCAGAGAGCACCGAGGACCCCACAGTCCTCCAGCTCCTCCTCCTCTTCCTAATTCAGAGGAGCCGTGGCAACTAGATTGCTGCAGAACGGCCTCCACGGAGCTGCCCTTGAAGGCCATCAGGAAGCTTCCTTGATAGAGCTGCTGGAGTGTCGGTGCCCAGAATCCCCACCCAGCACAGCTGCCGACAGCAGAGAGCCATGGAAATGTTGGCCGAAGGAAAGAAAGCTAAACAATTGCAAGGTGAAAAGTAAACTTTTTATTGAGGGATTGCAAAATAAATTCCCACCAGTCCCTTGCGAAAGAGATTAGCCCCAGAAGGATTGCAACGTGAGTAAACATCTTGCAAGGTTAGGAAACTGTTTGATGGCTTATAAACCGTATCTGTCTCTCGTCTCTTGTCTAAGTGCTCTTGGAGAAGCTCTGGGCAAGTGAGTTCGAAGCAGGGTGTGACTGGACAGCGGCCAAGGGACGTGGAAACCAGCGCTTCTGGCCAAGCTAGCTCTGCAGAAAGCACCAGAGTTTGGGTCAAAAGGTAGCGTGGTTGGGCTTGACCAACCACCCAGAATGAGGGGACATCATGTTCCTGGAAACCCAGAGGAGGTGGAGACACAGAGGCTCATTCCCCCACTTGATACAATCCAGGTGGCTTAGGCTGGGCTCATTCTCCTCCCCCCCACTCCAGCTAATAAGAATGGTTAAAGACCACCTCACTGGAAAAGGCTGGTCTGGATCTTCTCAACTGGTTGACCAACTATCCCTGACCTCTTCTACTCATCCTGTAGACCACCAGAGCTGGAAAAGTCTGATCTGGATCTTCCCAACTGGTCCTTCTTAGTTGGCCAACTGTTCCTGACTTCTTCTATTCATCCTGTAGACCATCAGAGCTGGAAAAGGCTGGTCTGGATCTTCCCAACTGGTCCTTCTTAGTTGGCCAACTGTTCCTGACTTCTTCTACTCATCCTGTAGACCAGTGTTTCTCAACCTTGACAATTTTCAGGCATGTGGACTTCAACTCCCAGAATTCCACAGCCAGCATTGCTGGCTGTGGAATTCTGGGAGTTGAAGTCCACATGCCTGAAAATTGTCAAGGTTGAGAAACACTGCTGTAGACCACCAGATCTGGAAAAGGCTGTCCTGGACCTTCTCAACTGGTCCTTCTTAGTTGGCCAACTGTTCCTGACTTCTTCTATTCATCCTGTAGACCATCAGAGCTGGAAAAGGCTGCTCTGGATCTTCCCAACTGGTCTTTCTTAGTTGGCCAACTGTTCCTAATCTTCCACTCATGCTGTAGACCATCAGAGCTGGAAAAGGCTGGCCTGGACCTTCTCAACTGGTCCTCCTTAGTTGGCCAACTGTTCCTAAACTCTTTACTCATCCTGTAGATCACCAGAGCTGGAAAAGACTGGTCTGGACCTTTTCAACTGGTCCTTCTTAGTCAACCAACTGTTCCTGACTTCTTCTACTCATCCTGTAGACCACCACAGCTGGAAAAAACTGGTCTGGACCCTCCGAACTAGTCCTTCTTAGTTGGCTACCCTTCCTTAACCTCCTTGGCTCATCTATTTATTCATCTATATATCCATCCATCATTTGTGCTTGTCTTGCCCATCTCTGGGTGTTTTCTGAACGGTTGCCAATCAC